ATTTATCAAAACTGGAGCAGACAAATTGTGGAGCAGATTTGCACGGCAACCAATCGGCTTCTCTGTCTCATTTTAAAATCTTGCCTGAGCAAACTGAAGAGAGAAGCCGATTGGTTGCCGTGGACAACTGCTCCAGATTCAGTTTTGATAAATTCCCCTCCATTGTATCTACAGTAAAAATAAATCAAAAAAAATAAACCTGTTCTCCTTCCCTCGCCCTCATGCCCACACCTTCCTTTTGCACCTATTTTTTTTTATACATCAATACCTCCAATAATACCTCAAATCTAGCAGGCTTCTGGTCAGCGCCATACTTCCCAACTTTCTTAAAGGAGAACTATGAGGGGAGTGATTTCCTCTCATCCTTATAGTTGGAGCCGACGTGTGACAATGAAACTGTCACAGGTCAGCTCAGTAGATCGGGAAGTGAGTGAACACATACCGTCGCTCGCTCACTTCTCGATCTCGATTCCCCCCCCCCGCTTCGATCCTTCAGCGCTGACTGGCGGAACGGACGGGGGAGGGGGCGGGTACAGCTGGCTCTGCCTCTAGATAGGCAGAGCCAGCTGTGACTCACGCAGCTGGGTGGATACAGACAGTAATGTTGGGATCCGTCCCGGCTGCGGCGCCTCAGTATACCGCGAGCTGTAGCTCCCTATATACTGAGCCTAGGGTGACGGGAGGACGCTAGTTTGTGTTCTCCCGTTACCCTGAGGAGAACTACGGGGAAAAGCCCTGACCTCGTAGTTCTCCTTTAAATAAGAAAGAGGGACACCTTCCTGCACAGTATATTTAGGCAATGACCCCTCCAGTATGCGGACCATTAAGAATCTATATGCCAAAAAGAGGGACAACTGAGGAGGGGCAGAGGGATTTGTTTCCAAATGAGGAACAGTCCCTCCAAGGGGCATTTCCATGACTGCCTAAGGTCACAGGAAGTGGATTAAATGATGCTGGCCCTTAGAAGAACAGCACTGGACCTCAGAGCTTTGACTCTTTGGAGGACGTCCTCAGGGAGGAGGTGTCTATTGCAGCAAAAGCTGCTTTTCATATTTTGTAACATGGCGGACTTATGCTTTGTAAACACGATAACCCCAAAGAACCTTCACCATGCATCCCTGGGGCAGACTGAGACCTCCCTAACACAGGCTCCTGTACTGAGGATTGTGGCCTGCAGGACAATTCACAAAGGCTGGTTGTACACGTAGAAATCTGTATCTTGGGATCAGTCCATGAGCATCCGCTGTTTAGCGCAGGCCGAGCCATTTTCTATCACGCAGGACCATATTGCGTTGGGCATTTATAGGTGCCGAGTATGCGGCACTCGGGAGGAATGCTCTGGAGGTGCAATCAGGGCAGCCTTTTGGGGTGTACGGCCGATACTCATGTAAGGGGCCTCGGGGGCCCGCCCGGGTCCCTTACATGACTATCGGCCGACGGTGATGGGCGAGGAGGCAGAGGCCTGGACCTAGCATCGCAGGGCCCCAGCATTGCCGCTCCAGCGGCTTCGAAACAAGCTAGGGCCCCATCAGCGACGTTGCTCATCTGATGTCGGACTGGCCGGAAGTGATGTCACTTCTGGCCGGTCCGGCGGACATGAGCTGTGTGCTTCCCAACCAATTACCTGTGGCGGCTGCCTTCTTGGTTTTGGTGGTTTGGTGCTGCGTATCACTCTCCCGACACTTACTAAATGGAATTTTAAACATAAAGCAATCATGTTATATCAATAAATGAACTTATGAACCTTTTTATACAGTAAGAGAGCTCGTAGTATTTCTTGAAAGCCCCTCCCCTTATGGTTCTGGCATACCCTAAGGTGGAATTTATCCAAGTAAGCTACCAATTATAGGTTCATGGTTGCTGCATCAGCAAAGAGCACATTCGAATTTCTCATCGTTCCAGACCTCCTGCGACTCTGGGAGACCGTCTAGTCTAGTTGTCAGTCAATCATAAATTGTACTTTGTAAACTGGAACTCTCAAACCTCTGTCCTCACTGTATTCCATCTGTCCGTCCAGCTAAAGATTTCATCCGTCACCTTCTGGAGAGAGAGCCGGAGAAGAGGCTGACCTGTGAACAAGCCCTGCAGCATCCATGGTAAGATCACCGCGCTCCCTGCTCATCTGCCGCTCCGCTTGTACAGGGGTCACATTCACGCCACACAGGCCAACAACCTCAACAAAGGGCAACTGTAATCTGTGCAAAAACATGTCACTTTCATTCCTAGTGGCAGGAGTTCACTGGGAGCAGCGACACGCTGTGCGAACGTGGGTACATGGATCGTGCTATAAATCAGCCCCATGGACTGTCGGTACTGACCCGATTTTACAAAATGGCTACATGCCGTTCCTGTGGCTTCAGGACTTCCTAAGTCATTGAATAGGAAGACTTGCAGTTAGTCTGGAACAGACCAAAAGGGATCCACCGGCTTTGTCCTATATTGGAGCATGTGGCATATGAGGTCTCGGTTTAAAGTTAGCCTGTGCTTTGCCCACCACAGGACCATCATTCAAAGCAACAGGTTCCCTTTAAAGCAGCGGTCGCCAACCGGTGGCGACCACTGGTGGTCCACGAGAAAATGTTGGTGGTCCCCGGGCCCCTCTGATGCCGTGCAGGGCTGGGCTGTCATTGAAGCGGCAGGGAGGCTCCGGGGCTGCCTCTCACTGACTCAAGCAGCGGCTGTCACGAGGAATGCATGGCTCTCAGTACAGCGCGGGCTCTGCAGGAGGCGGGACATAGAAAAAGTGGGGAGAAGCCAGGTAGTAGTGGCTCAGTGTGGGGAGGCACAGGGGTGGTTGGGGTGTAGGAGTGGCATGTGCCCCGGGCACTGCCGGCCAGGCCAGTGGCAGATTCGATAGGGGGGGAAACAATTAATATAATTACTCGGGCGGGCGGCACCGCTCCCTCCCTCCACCAGCACTGCCACTCCTGCAGGCACACCCGCAACTATGTATGTATATATAGATATATTATACAGTGGTATCTCGGTTCACGAACGCTTCTGTTCGTGAACAATTTGGTTCGTGAACAGGAAGTGCGGCAAAATTTTGCCTTCTGTTCGCGAACTCCGCTTCGGGTGACGAACACAACCGCAGCCATTTTCTCCGCTCTGACACGTGGTCGTGGCTTCCTCTAGTCGAGATCGCGGTCTGATCACAGTTTGATTCTGTTCACGACCAAATCGGTTCGTGACCAGAATCGCGGAACGAATTAAGTTCGTGAACCGAGGTACCGCTGTATATGTATACACACACACACGCACATATGAGAATATATATTTTTTAAAAATCATATTAGTGGTCCATGGGATTTAAAAATGATGAATTTAGTGGTCCGTGAGGTCCGAAAGGTTGGTGACAGCTGTTTTAAAGGGTAAGAATGCGTACAAACAAAGTATACTTACCCTTTTCCCCCCAACCCTAAAGCTTATGACCGATCAGCTTAAAAAAAAATGTGCCCCCCCATCCTTTCCACCATACAGTATATTCAGGATATGAAGCTTGTTTAGTCCAGGTGGGGGATGTAATAAAGAGCACTACTTGTGGTATTCCTCCCTTCCTTGGTCTTCTATGTTCCCTCCCTAGAATGTAGGTGGGCCCTTGATGCCATCACATACAATGTAGGACCAGTGGTTTCCAGGTAAGGTTGACAAGAGGATGGCAACACTACTGGAGGAGAAGAGCGGTGCTATAGAACCCATCAGTACTACCGGAACCAAAAGGGTAGACGGCCGCCTTCTCCGTGAATTGTCTCTATTAGAGCACCCCGACAAAACAAGCATCATATCCTAAATATTTACCACGGGGCACTCACATGGATATTTTTCAGCAGACTGGAGTTGAGCTTCACCTAACCCACCCTACTCTGCACCGGTTGAATGCTTACCAGTGGTGTCCAGATAAGGTTGACATTGGCAACACAACTGGAGAAGAACCCATCATTACAACCGAAACCAAAGGGTAGAAGGCCACCTTCTTGTGCCAATCTGAAGGCCACATGGAGTTTGGAGGTCTGTAGCTATTGACTCTGCAGACAGTTGGCGACTTCTGCGCACTGTGCGCTTAAGCATGCGCTGACCCCGCTCTGTCATGTGACGTGGCCGACCACTTCCTGGCTGAGTTGCTCTTGTTCCCAGTTGCTTCCACTTTGTTATAATCCCAGTAACAGGCGACCGCGGCGGAATATTTAGTAGCCGGGAAATGTCACGGACGGACTTATTGCACAGGTGACAACCTATCACGGCACCACGCTTGTAGTCACCGAGCTCCTGAGAGCGACCCGTTCTCTCACCAATGTCTGTAGAAGCGTCTGCATGCCGAGGTGCCTCATCCTATACACCGGGGGCCATGGAGGTGATTGGAGGACCTGAATCACATGATTTGGAGGGGGTGGGGCCCAATACTTTTGCCAATATAGTGTATGTGATCCTCTGATGGTTTTTTTATACCACAATGGCTACGTGATCTGATCACTCTCCCTGTGCTCTCTGGCAGGATCTCGGGAGACACGGCTCTGGAGAGAGACATCCACGGTTCTGTCAGTGAACAAATCCAAAAGAATTTTGCCCGGAGTCAGTGGAAGGTGAGATGCTGATTGTATTATGAATGGTCTGCAGCTCTTAAAGTTATCCTCTCAGAAAATGTCTAGTCACCTGACCATCATTGTGGATGAAATAATGGTTGGGTTGTCTAGACAAGAGGATGTACATATGTATACACAAGCAGCGCTGAGATAGGGCATTCTGGTCTTTTTCTAGTGTTCACCAGAATGCCGACACGTCTTCGAGGAAGCAAGGTGTCAGTGCCTGACCAATCAGCTGTGGCTTTTCCTGTCTTGCAGCTGTATGCAAACCAACAGATGGGATTCCGGTGACACCATTAACCTTATATGGCCATATTTGGTCAGTGACAATGATCTAATATTGCCAGGTGACCTTATAAGGTCAATGAATTGGGCAACTACATTCACCTAATATGGCCGTATGGTCTTACAAGGTCAATATTTGGCAAGAGACATTGATCTAATATGGCCCTGCGGCCTTACAAGGTCGATGACTTGGTCACTGACTCTGAGCTAATATCTCCAGGTGGCCTTATAAGGTCAATAATTTGTTCAATGACATTGCCCTAATATGGCCATGTGGCTTTATAAGGTCAAAGGCTTGGTCAGTGGCATTGCCCTAATATAGAAATGTGGCCTTATAAGGTCAATGATTTGGTTAGTGACACTGACCTAATATGTCCATGTGATGTCACCAGTAGGAAATGCCACCGCCGCAGCTGTGTGGACCACCACTGACGGCTTCCTTCTGGGTTCAGAAGGAAGCCGTGGTTCGGTTGGAACCCAAGCTCACCCCTAGTCATTACCCCGGAGTGTCCACGAATGGGCACAGGCGATCACTGAATACAATGGCTGCATCTCTTTTTGCTGTATGTTCACACTTGCCTGCCCTTACTGAGTGTTTTAACATGTCACACCGGGTCTGGCTACCGGGTACCTTGTGGGTGTTTCATGTCATTAGAGAATTCAGAGAGACTATTGTTTCAGAAAGACAACGGGCCTGCTAAACTACATATGTTTTTTTTTTTTCAGAGGGCATTTAATGCGACGTCCTTCCTGCGCCATATCACTAAAATGGGTCAAAGTGCTGAAGCGGATCCCGAGGAAAGCACAGTGGAGACGGTCCAAGAGGAGAAAGATAAGTGGTGATTGAAGGTAAGAAATGGATCGCAAGACTATTGTGCCTGCAACTGAGATAGCCAGTGTGTCAGCTTGGGGCTCATTCACACGGACGCAGAGGTCCGTACACCACAACCTGCGTAGTCCTTGTCCTAGGGCTACAATACTGCTTCTTCATAAATGAACGCAGACCTTCACTGCCCAGATCCACCTCAGCTGCCTGCAATCCCCAACCCCTCCGAAATATCAAATGGTGGTTTGTTTTTTGTGTCTGGCCCCCTTGGGTTTAGGTAAACTTTAACCTGATCTAGCTACCGTATTTGCCGGCGTATATAGGACAGGTTTTTAGACCTAAAGGAGAACTATGGGGTTAGTGCTTTTCCCCATAGTTCTCCTTAGGGTAACGGGAGGACACAAACTAGCGTCCTCCCGTCACCCAAAGCTCAGTATATAGCGGGCTACAGCTCGCGGTATACTGAGACGCCGCAGCTGAAGCGGATCCCGACAATTGTGCCGGGATCCGCCCAGCTGCGTGAGTGACAGCTGGCTCCGCCTATCTAGAGGGTGTACCCGCTCCCTCCCCCGTCCGTTCCGCCAGTCAGTGCTGGAGGATCGGAGCGGGGAGGGGGGAATCTAGCCCCTCCCCTGTCACGGCAGAGAGCCGTGACAGGATCGAGAAGTGAGCGAACCT